CGAAGACCAGTACAGGTTTACAAAGGCTCGACGAATACCAAAGTAACTATCAGTCATTAGGTAGTCGCATAAATGAAGTTTTGCATTTTTTACACCTCGTCTATTTGGCTATCTCTTAATTCCCTGATATTTTCCCGTAGGGTGTAATTTTGAGCACAATGCAGTTATTCTTAGATAAATTAAAAAATGACTTTGGAACAGCTCGAAGGCTAGCTCACTCTTACTGGGGCAGCATTAATGAAAAAATCACTCTTACGTATCCGATAGCCATATTAACAAAGTATTTCACACCTGATACATGGAGGTTTTAGCATCCTGAGTCTTCCCACAGGGTGCAAGAAGGCTGTAAGTTATGTTGGATACACGTATTTTAAAGAGAACAAGCAACTGGTCATGAGCTTGGCCCGACGGCCAGCCCACGGGTACATGCACCAACAAATCCTAAAATAACCGTCAAACACCGGGTATCCACATAAACAAAGCACTACACATGTCGCTTTAGTATTCATTCTGACATTGTTCGCGGGGGTTGACCTTCAGGCAGAGTCAAGACAATGTCCCTTTTTCTCCTGTTAGAATGCAGGCACTCTGCCCGACGTGATGCCTTCTTCTACCCAGTAGGAGTGCCCAGGTGCTACAACTGTATCTAGACTTTATGACAATTAGTCATTTGGTTTCGACAACTGTTTAAACAAGTATAAGTGTCTCATATGTATCGAAAACTTTTCATCGACTCCGATTGTACAACGGAATTATAATAGATTAAATGACTCAGCAGGCGATGTCTTCCAAGGCCCTTCATGTTAGTTTTCTGCATCTTAAAGCGTGTTTTCAAGAGTCGTATGGACACCAGTTAGGGTTATTAATGCAGTATGATATTTAATATCTTTACAATGAGCTACTCGAACAAAATTACCATTACTAGTAGTGGGCGGCTTTTAATTTCAAGGTCAAGGTGGAGTAGATCTGATTTCCCTTTCGTCAAGTTGTTATTTCCTTTTTTTATATTTTTATCATTTTTGGCTTGCGGTACCTAGATTAAACCTTTCTGAGATCATGTAATAGTTGGTATAGGTATATCTTGGTGTTAGCTATTGCTGTTTTAATTCTGCTTGATGGACCTTGTGGAATTGTGTTACTCTCCGCTCGTGGTCGTCCCATTTTGCAACGGGACTGGTATTGCGCCAAGCGCAATACTTTTTAGTATATGTGCATTGGACACCGCGTAGCTTTTGTTTTAAATTTTATTACTTGAGTCTACAAAATATTAGTGATTATTATCAACAACTACGACGCAGTATTCCGAGATCACTTATTGGCAATGCCGACCGCAAATGAGGGATTTCACTGGCCTTGGCAATATGACTTCCCACCCTTCTTTACGCTCCAACCGAATGAGGAGACACGTCGGAAACAGATGGATGCCTGGTGTCAATTAGTGTTGAGCTACTTCCAATGCAAGAAGCAGTTCTCCGTTGATGTATCGTCTCTCATGGCTTCCCAATGCGAGCTTTTCAATAATTCGAAAATCAACCGTAAAGCGAATCCGTTGCTTATCCAGGCCATCTTTGACGAATTGCACAGACGCGGCAATTTGGAGTGGAATGATAGGTCTGTTGACTATTTGGTTCTAGCCTTTATCATCTTCCTCTATGCGCAAATCGAAGATCTTTTGTCGACTTAACACTATGGTCATGCGCTCTTGCTCGGTTCATTGCAATTATTTGGGTCAAATTAAGCCGCAAATAACTTGAATGCTTTCAAAGTGATTGAAGTTCCTGTTTAGATCTTCTTTATTTTACCTTCAGAACGTTGCTTGCAATTATTGCCTCGTTAATGCATGTATCAGTGGAATGGTAGAATAAGAGGTATCGTGTCTACGTTGATTGATTTTTATTGAGGCACTTTTCTTAAACCTTCAAAGGCTTCGATACACAATGCCACAAGTTGGATAGCTGGCTATGCAATTTAATAGTAGTTTGAAACAGATCTGAAGTGTTAACAGTAAACCACTTTGATTTCCTTTGCCCGAAAGTGTCGGTATTTAATTGCGAGTACCTAGTGCAACCCAGGGCTTTTGCACTGGCATTAAGCGTCAGTGGGTGATGTTTTCATTATCATGAATGGATTCATTTCTCGTAAGTGTCGATCTTTCTCCGCTATGGCCGTGTTTTGTTCCCATGTTATGTTTATTTTTGAACTGCTCATTTCAATGTGCCAACCATTGGCTTTCTTCCATTAACATCATTGATTTCTCTTTTTTTGAGAACTTATTTCTTCGCACGTGAGGCTCTTGTTGAACCATTCCGACAGTTACTCAGATGCGTCACAATTAAAAACAAACTTGAAAGGCAAACTTGAGTTGATTCTCTGTAGCCTTTATACGTAGTGTACCAGTGTCGCCTTCAACTAATTGGTTGGTTAATTTCGGTTGTAGCAGCTTTTATCTTGCCCACTAATGGACTGGCTTTGCATAATCCTCTATAATTCCTGGAATACTCTGTACGAATCAACTACCATACTTTTCTCAAATCTTCATTCCTACGTATAGTTTATGCCAATTGTCCTGTTATAATTAACACATGTAATACGATAACCCCAATGATCCAAGCATTTATCTGACTGTTGCTATAAAAGTGGTAAAAGTGTAGTTCCCCGTAAGTCAGGGCACCGCTGCATGTGTTTTGTATTTTCGTGAGCAACCAATCTGCTTACAGCTTCATTTTATATCGTCGATGAATATCACGCCACATAAAGTTTAGAATATCACACACGGGCCGTTTAACAATAGAAATTGCAGATCTTTTATGCAAATGGTACAGATCGCACAAAACTGCAAGCATACAGTGGCGGAAGGCGAGTAGTTGGGCGGCCGATATTGAGAAGTGGGTACGAGCGACAGGTCGAGGCAATACGGTTTGCACTATCTACGAGATCACGGACGGTGATGACACAGAGGGCGAGCCCTTCCATGGTCTTGATCGTGCTGTTATCACGGAAGCACTGCGCTACCTTGAGAAGCACGGCAAAGCCGAGGTCATGGAGGGTGGAGAGGGCGTCAAGTTTTTCATTTAAACTCTTTGTTTTTGTTTCTAAGAGTTCCTACTGCACTGTCTTTATTTTCAATCTTTTGATCGTTAAGTGTCAACCTTATCTGTTCGTGTACGTGTTTCTGGACCTTTTGTGTCCCGGTAAGACCGGGACATTAGATTTGGTCGAGGGGTACTCAATGAAAAGGATTCAGTGTGAGGCTTACTTTTCATGCCTTAAGGCTGTTTGCTTCAAGCTGTTGAAGCTCGCGTTTTTATACTGTCATTGGGTTCATTCCTCTTGATGAATGGCCGATCACTAAAATTTAGTTCGGGCATAAGAGGCTTGCCATTGCAGCAAAAACAATGAACTAGTACTAAAGTTGAATAGGTCGGGTGGACGATAAGCTTTGTTGGCTGTACTTGGTTGCAGGAGTAGCCAGTCAGTGAGCATATTCGGAAAGCCAATCAATTTAGTGTAAATTCAATCTGAGTAATGTATTATGAATGCTTATTAGGAGGAAGTCCAAGTTATGCACGATCTAAAAATTTGTTGTTTTAAGAGGTTAGCTAGAAGGAAACATAAATATTAGTAAAAGGGATTGATAAACAGACAGTTGTTGAGAATTTCATTTTTGGTGCAAAATGTTATGGCGTCCCGTGTGTTCGTACCAGTCAGGTAAAGGCATTAAGCTTAATCGGGTGCATGTATTTCAGGGCGAGAAAATGGCTAGGTCTGAGTTTGGTCTGAAGATAATCTCACGCGCACAGGAGCCAGACGAATCTTAAAGTAAGCGC